GCACTCGGAGCCCGGCGCCAGCGAGGACAGCCCGTCCCAGCCCTGTGCCTGCTCCGAACAGCGGAGACACGCGGCCGCCAGCACCCTGCAGGCCCGGTGGAAGGTGTACAGGCGCCAGGTGAGGGCTCCCGGGCCCTGCTGGGCTGCACCCACCAGGCGGTGCTGAGGCCCCTCCCAGCTGCCAAAGCCACTGCCCGTTGTTCACCGACCCACAGTCACCTGCCCTCAGACAGGCGGGGCTGTGGTCGGTGCAGGTGACGTGCAGGAGGACGTGGGAGACGGCAGACACCGCGGAGAATGGCAGGGGGCAGGGGGGACCAAACACCACCCCTGGAGGCACGAGCAGCCCCCTGGGGAGGAGTGAGCGCTCGCAATAGCAGTGGCTGGTCCCACGCCTGGCAGCTGGCAGAGCCGGCACTTCCTCTCCCTCCCCCGCCCCCGACTGTGGCAGGGGCAGGACCAGGAAACGGACTCCACTGTGAGTTCGTCCTCGGTTAACTCATACCTTGTCTCTCTTTCAGAAGAGGGAGGCCGCGCTGGATGAGGTGAGCAGGTTTGGTTCCCCGATGCCAGAAAAGGTGGGCGTGGGCATGCTCAGGCAGCTTCGTCCTGGTCGCCATGAAATCCCACCACGAAGACTCAGGTCTGCGGCACTAACCTGCGGGAGGTCGTGTGGCCGCTCCTCCGGAGGTCAGGTGGCGGTGTGACCTGGAGGAGCGGCCACACGACACCAGCTGTGCTCCACGCACACACGGAGCCGCCGGGGACCAGGTCACCTGTCTGCCCCGGAGGTCCTGGTGGGAGAGGCGCTGTGAGTCTCGGTGACCGTGCGGTCGGTCGTGAGGGACGCCCTGCCTCTGCTCTCAGAGCTTCCACCCCGCAATCTCCCCTGGTCCGAAGCCGCCACCTTCCTGGGCTTTAACCTCACCTCCGGTCCTCTCCCTGCAGGCGGCCACGGTGCTCCAGGCGGCCTTCCGCGGACACCTGGCTCGGGCGAGGCTACTGGCGAGCCCAGCGTGT